CATTTTTTTTTAACAATTATTTCTTTACTTTTAGTTTATAAAACAATTTTTGATTGATAAAAACTTTAATGTTTTTCAATAATTTAAACAGTTAAGGTCAGTCAATTAAAGCACCTCACCTCCAATATAAACTTGAAGTTAAGCCAAAGTCTACTAAGCATCGCTTAATCTTCTTCTTTTTATTAATTTCTTCCATTTTTTATTTTTTTTGTAATTAATATGCGCTTCACCCATGGCCACATCTCAAGCCTCAGCTGTCAACTTATTAGTTTTTTGGCATCATAATTTGAAAAATGATTTCACATAATTATAAACCGCATAAAAAGTGCATAGCAACTCAATATAATTGCTAAGGAATTACTGATTTTTGGCTAAAATTACGTTAGTTTTTTCTTCTAAATCTCATTGGCATGCCAAACCGTTGGATTTAATGGATGGCTATTAAAATGATTGAAATGTGTTGCGAAAATATCTAGCCGTCTCGGCGGAAACAATTTTGAATTGACCTTAATGCTGTTAGCGTTGTTCAACATTATATATTTCATGTTTTTTAATTTTTTTTCCAAAATTTAATGATGGATCTATTAGCTAGCACCGATTTGCATAACACTTCAACTAATATTTCATATAAAATAGTTGAAATTTGTGCGTTCAGTTATATAAGAGAAATAAATATAATGAAACTTGTTTGATATTCAAGTACTATATTTATATATATTTTTTTAGCCTTTGGCAGCTTGCAGTTTTTCCTGTATACTACATTTTGGACTTATTAATTATCAGTTATTATAATAATATTTTACATTTTACTTTCTTTTATTTACAGTGCATCTGGAACAAGTGCAGTTGCGATCGATAATAAGATCGAGCAAGCTATGGTAAGTCCATATATGAATTTTCTAGTTATGACACAAATATAAAATTTTTATTAATGTTTCAAAATAAAAGTGATTAGTTGTAAGAACTGCTAACATTATATGGTGTTGAGGTATACATATACACGAACTAGTCACTCAAATTTTTGGATATACAGCTGAAATTTGTCCTGTTCTTCCTAAGAATCTTCTCATCGGAACACTGTAACATATAACTGCCATACAAACTAACCGATTAGAATAAAGTGCTTGTATGGAAAACGTTTTCATCTGCCGTTTCATCTTCTTCATGAAATTTTTTTAAGTTATTGTCTAAAGCAATAATGCAACATCTGAAGTAATTGTTCAAATCGGATCAATATAGAATATAGCTGCCGTACAAACTAACCGATCGGATTCAAGTGGTTGTAAGGTATATTTTGTGAATATAGTATAATAGCTTCCTTGTTACAGAAGTTGACGTCATTTCTTATTTAAATATCATTCCGTTATTTAATTTTCACTGGCAACTAATTGCTTTAACATTTATTGACAAACAGTACTACAAATAGTATATTCTAATAATAAAACAAATAAGCGTGCTTATATTTTTATATAGTCATTGACGTTATATGTAATATTTATCTAAAATTAAATAATTTAGCTATGTGCTTTGAAAATATTTAATTTAACAGCTTCAGATGAATAAAGGTCTTCACAAACTTGAATGTAATTTATATTACTGCGATCCAAAAGTTAGTTGAAACAATTTCATCTTATTTTGCTCCATAAAATGCACTTTTCCCAATGCCTCTTCCAGTCCTCTAAACAGACGGAATATTCTTTTTCCGGTATAACCTTTTAAACCTTCTTCGATTCGTTTTTTATCTCCTCAATGGAGTCAAAGCGGAATCCCCAGATTTGGTTTGTTGGATAGCCAGAAGTCACAAAGAGCCGCATTAGGCGAATAAGGTGGTTGGGGAACAAGGACATGAGTCGAGCTTTTGGCAAAAAAGTCTCAAAGAACCAATACAGTATGACATGTTGCATTAGCGTGATGAAGTTGTTGTTGAAAGTTTTTCTCCCATAATTTCAGCCATTTCATCACACTCAAACTTTCATTGTTGACAGTTTAGCTCGGCAGAAGGAATACATAATGCACCACAAAACGCTAACCGACGAAAATTCAAAACATGACTTCGATTTTTTTTATCGAACTTGCCGTGATCTTCCTGATCAACTGTGAACTCGTTGTACCACCTATAAACGTCTTTTTTCTGTGCAATAGTGTGTCCACCAAAAGACTTCCGCAACATTTCCAAAGTGTACGCACAATAATATTCCTGTCGCAAACAAAATTTGGAGCAAGTTCTTTGCTCATTAAAATCAATCTTTGTGAAAATCGAAAAGTTCATTTCTGGTTATTCATACCGGTTACTCATAATGGCGATTTTGGCATGCACTGACTAAATGATTAGTTACTCACAAAAAACTCGGAGACGATTTGGAAATCCACAAAAAGTGGCTTGCTTATAGTATTAGGACTTCTAATATACATAAAAATCTACGTCAAAATCTTAATTGCTAACCAATGAGACCACCTCATTTCCAACTTTCATTAGTAGTATACACATAAAATGTACATATGTACATTTGTAACAAATGCTGACGTTGCTAACATTATAATTATTGGTTTGCCATGCAAAGTACCAAAGTCAACAACAGCAAAAATAATTATTAATATGAACTCAGAATGCATTCACATATGAATATTTATTATGTCAGTATATAAGGATGTGCTCTCGTGCGTATAGTTGACTTGCAATGACATTAAACAAGTCACGTTGCACACCGATTTGCAAATAAGTTCAATTATCGGAAAGTCACTGGACATTTGCTCAAGATTTCTAGCAAATAGACGATTTACGCTCTAAGAAAATATGCTGAGTTTAGTAGTAGCAGCGATTTGCTAGTGGCGCATTTATAGGCCTTTCAGAGACTTAATGATGTCGGCTTTGACGCATTACTTTTATGCCGTGACAGCTAATTGTTTTGTTTTGATGTTTGGTTGTTTTACGAACCAATTTTTTGAGTATGCTTAATGTGAAATCAAGAGTTTTCCAAGCTTCTCAGTCAGTAAAGTTCAATTCTTCTATACTTAAATGTACCGCATATATGACTATGACGTCACATAAAATGCAGAAAAAACTATTATTATTATCGAAAAACTCGAGTTGGTTTTTTTTTTTTTGTTTTTTTTTTTTTTTTTTTTTTTTTTGTTTACAATTCACTGTCATAGTACAGGTTTTGTATAACCAAAATTATAACTAAAACTCAAATTTTGCTTACATATGCATAGTTTCTGTCGTTTTTTATTGAAATAGAATTTTTAATCGTTTAAACTTCACTGTCATATTATAGGTTATGTATAACACATTTATAACCATAATTATAACCAAGACTAAAATATTGCTTCAAAATGTATAGTTTCTATTTTCTATAATATTTTCCTACGCCTGTCAACTAATGAAAATTGATATTATCTACATTATTTGCAGTTTAGCTGTCGATATGTACTTGTATGAGTTCTCTGGTGTAACGCAGAAAGCCTTTTAATTGCGCAAAGCCGCCACTTCTTCATTAATTTAAATGCATCATTTAATTTATCACTTCAACTTTTCACATACAAATCAATTTCCCGCCATATAAATATGCAGTACATACTAGTTACACATATGTATACACTCGTATGTATGTAAATATTCGCCTGCATTTCGTTGTCATCGATGTTGTTTCAGTTGGTCAGCGCAGGTTTTCCTTTCCTCGGTTGGCTGCACTTGGTGGGCACTGAAAACGGCGGCGCTAACTCCAATCAACACACGACGGCTGTTCATGAGACGCAACAACTTTGTAGCTACTGCTGCAACCGTTTGCTGTTGCACGCTGTTTGTTGTTTTTTGCAGTGGCGTTGAAAGCATTGTCGCTAAAAATAGCCGTAATAAATTCGCAATAGCAATTTAATTTAGTTCATTGGCTTAAGTTGAGTATCTGTGTCGCCAGCATTCACGCCGCTGGCAACGCGCTGGCAACAGGCGGGTTTGGGCGCTGCGTTTATGCGCGCAGCATTTGTTATTCGATTGATTGGCTGGTGGTTGTCCGTCCGCACGATCATTGCCGTTGCTGTCAACGTTACTGTGTATTCGGCGCACTTATAACGTCTGTCTATTTGTCGCACACATATCTGTATTTGTGTGTATATACATTTTTTTCGTGCAACTTGTTCTGCAGTCGTTTATGATTGCATGTTAATGCCCACATAAATACTCGTATGTCTTTTGATGGGAGCAAGCAGCTGGCATTCGCTAGTTAACTAGCTGCCTAGCTCACTTGACTCTCTAAATACATATGTGGATACATAAATTCTGTCACACTACCGCTTAGTTTGTTCTAAATCATCCGGTGGCTTCCATTCAGCTTTCGCAATTCGATGAATGACAGCCAAGCACACCACCAATGTATGTTCATTGTTGTTCCAGTAGAAGAACCAAAAAAATTCAAAGTAAAAAGAAACCCAATAAAAAAAAGTGCAACAGAACTTTCCCGCTTGGAAACTGTATATATGGATATGTATGCGTTCCCTCAAATGCACTGTAGTCAACTAGTTTTAAACTAGTTCAAAGCCCAATTAGTTAATCGACCATCTTTTTCCGTACTACGACTTCATTTATCGGTCAGAAATATAACATGTTGATCTTAGTTCGGAGTGTTCAGTCAAAGTGGAGTCGTCTGCAACTACAAAGTAGGTCGCAATAGGTCCTTATGATCGAATGTGAACCGTAAGAGGTCTTCTAAACTTTTAATCTCGCCGCAATTCTGCATATTCTGACTGGGATCAGTCCAATAATTCATATGCGGTGCGGTTAAATATGTTGTCGAACGATTTTTGCCACAGCTTTATGAAGGAATGCTAAATGGGATCATCTAGGTACGTTTGTCAGACAGATTGAAATATTTCAATAGACCCACCTCCAGCAAACCTACAGCAGTGCCTGCAATTGATATTAACTAATTTATGGTACGCTTAAAGCTCTTCGTCGATCTGTGGGAATCTGGTCATCCGTTTGTAGGTCTTTTTGGCTGTCATTGGACCAACATTCACAGCTCCGCGCGAGATCCAGCGCTATCTATAGCTCATATTATTATATTAAGTACTAAAACTACTCTTAGTATCGCTTTTGAATTGGTACAAGTAAACACTTTTTTGGACTAGTTGCTCCAGAACAAATGCTTACACCTCTCCAAATGTATGCATTAATTTTCGTTAGAACTGCTTGCTTCTTGAATTGCATGCGGCGGCGCCATACAATTTCAGGAGCTTAGGTTTCACTTATTTATTACATGCATTTGTACGTACATATTTATGTTTCTGCGATCGGCAAATGCTGACTCCGAAGCTGGAGTTTTTATTTTTTTAGTTGTTGCAATTTCTCCAATTATGCAGCATTTTCAATTTGTTGCAAACGGATTTGTGTAAAAATGTAAGATAGTGACAGTGTGTGTCTTGATTAGCCATAGGCGGCAATAGTAGACAGAATTGACTGGCATTTTTCCTAGAAAATAAGTACTTATGTACATTTATGTGTATATTTTTATGGCATCAATTGAGATGTTTCTCTTTTATGTTTTCGGGGGTTTATTTTATACTTCTAAAACATTTTAGAATACTATAAATTCACTAACGCTTTCATCGTCCAGTCCAAGTCCAGGCTTACTAATTCTATACATATTATATTGTCTATCAAATGGAAATAATATCTAAAGTATAGCTAGACAAAGAAATTACATTTTTTTCTGTGAAACCTCTAAGAGCAGCAAGTGAAAGTTTGAAAAAGCTCTTTAGAAAGTTCAGGCTTTATATTGCCATGTATTAAATTAAAATAATCTTTAATGAAGATACAGTAAGCAATCAAAAAAACAAAAAAAATCGGTAAAAGCTCTGAAAACTCCAAGGTAAGGTTTGAAAA